ATTATCAGATCAGAAACTTTGTTCATGCGATTTGAAAGAAGAATTTAATTTATTCTAAAATAAAATAAGTAGTTATTTTGATATTGTGAGTAAAAATAATAGAGAAATGTGGCTCTTTAGCTAGACAAAGGCAGTTTTTTTCTTGCATTTTGTGAAATAATTATCTGGTTTGAAGTCCAGCATTAAGTTAAAACTCACAATTCAAGATTAATCAACTTTATATTAAAAAAACAAAGTTTAGACAACTTGCCTCTTGTTGTCAAGTCAACTTCGTGAACTTTAATTTCTGAATTAAAACCGAAATTATTCTTTTTGATGATTTTAATTGGACTTTAAGGCAGCAGGCGGGCCTTTGTTTTCAAGTTAAGCCACCTCCAGATGTTTTACAGTTTGGGGTGATCTGTAAAGGTTAAAGCAGTAAAATCATTTTAAGACAACCGTTGTGAATGTATGGCATGAGAAGATAAAACGTCACATTCTCCTGCAGATGTGGAGAGTGTCAGGCTGTAGTTGAGTTTGTTTTTGTAATTTGTTTACAAAAAACAAACAAAAAAAGTCACGATAAATCTCCCTTTATAGATAGATAGTTATAAACACTTTATAAATCATTAATAACTGCTTATTATGCATTAAGTAAGCGTGAGAAGGAAACTACATGCTAAAAAAAATTAGGTTTACAAATGTTTATTGTGCTTACAAGATTGTCTGAAATGTTTACTATAACAAGTTAGTTTAAAATATATACAGGAACAAATTTAAATTTATAAAGTGTTTAGAGATGAACTTATAACATATTTTATCTGTAAGTGGAGCCTTAGATGAGACAAAGCTGGAAATCCTTTAGTCTTGTGTGCATTCTTCCTGTTTTTGTCTCTCTCTCTCGTAGTTTAGTCTCCCAGCTGTCGGCTCCAGATGGGCTGACAGTCTGATTCCAGATGGCGGACATGCTCCAATAACGCGGAAACTAATCATTTGTTAATCTCGCAAACACTGAACCCTAATCACAACACTCACCAAACAATTTCACCCTGTAATTAACAATAATTGGCTTCATTCTCATCGCGGCGTTAGCCGAAGCGGGTCGGAGGAGGCGAATCCAATCGCTCCGTCACGCTCGCTCAGAAAACCTCTCACTTTTTTTTTTTTTTTTTTTTGTTTTTGTTTTTCCTGTCTGTCTTTTCAGCTCCGTCCAACGCCGCTGGCCGGCAAAGCGTCTCTCTCTCTGAGACACCAGAGACCTCTGAGCGCCGCCGGCTCCCCGCCGCAGGGCCACGAGGAAGACGAAGAGCTCCCGTTCAGACGCGCCGTGGCAGGACACCGACATCACCCTCTGGTGTTCTCTCTGTCTTCAGGTAAACAGTGGACACGGTTTTCACTCGACGCGTCAGGAATGCAGCTGATTTCAAATCTTTCATTAGCTTTTTTTATTCCCCCCTCCTGCAGAGAATGAATATGAACTTTACCAGAACACTGACATCAGACCACCCTTTACCTACGCAGCTCTGATCCGACAGGTACGAGCAGAGAGATTGTTTGACTTTTCACATCTTTATTATTTTAATTCTGGTTTATTTGAACAGCACCTTTCAGAAACAAGGCAGTTCACAGTGCCTTAAAACCATAAAACCTTCAAATGGTCAAAAACGGTAAACATTACATTTTGTCAAATGCCATCATCAAGCACATCAGATATGTTAATCAGTGTTCCAGTTACTATTAATCAATGGCAGATCTAAACAGGTGGGTTTTTAGCCTTGGTTCAAAGGAACTCGGTGTTTCGGCTGTTTTGCAGTTTTCTGGAAGTTTGCTCCAGATTTGTGGTGTGTAGAAGCTGAAAGCTGCTTCTTCATGTTTGGTTCTGGTTCTGGGGATGCAGAGCAGAACCAGTGTAGGGACTTTAGAACTGGGTGATGTGCTCCATCTTCCTGGTTTTAGTCAGAACACGAGCAGCAGCGTTCTGGATTAGCTGCAGCTGACAGATTGATTTTTTTTTTTAGACAGACCTGTGAGGAAACCGCTGCAATAATCGATGAGACTCGACATCCAAGCCATCTTAATGGGAAGGTAGTCTTTTATTCCGAGAACTTTTCTTCAGGTGACAGAAGGCCGTATTTGGAACTGTCTTTATGTGACACTGAATGTTCAGGCCTGATTTAGAGCCTGATCGTCAGTTTCCAGCTGTAATAGGGGACGAAGCATGGAACTACGTACTAATATGAGACTCAAACTGAACTTTTTCTGACGTTTTCTACCACTATGTGTGGCAAAACTCTAGCCTGACCGTTGCCTTCTTACGCATTTCCGCTCAATTCTCATCTCCTTTCAAGGTTTTCTCCCATTGCCTTGGATTGTCTTTCAACCAGGTCAATCAGGAAACAGAGGGAGAAGTTGTGAACAATGATGTTGATTTCCTGCGTTGTTTTAGTATCATAGTCAGCTTGTAGTTTTATCGATGGGAGCAGAGGAAGTGAGCGAAGCTGTTCAGTCCGCGTTAGACACGTTTCCAAATATGGAATTACAGCCATTTTGTTTTACTTGGCTCTTCTCCCTTTGCAGCGGAGAACGGTTGTTGGCAATTTCCGGTAAGCTTCATAGCGTCAAACTGGCGCATTACATGCGTCACAGCCGAAAGTTAGCGACCGGGTAAAATTTAGAACAACGGAGTCCATGACTCCAGGAAGCAATCGTTTCTCAGCAGCCGAGGGTCTGCTGAGAAAGTCCACCTGGTGCTGAAAAGTGAGAAAAGCTGCCAGCGATGGCAAAACTCAGGAAACTGGAGCACAACTTCACCTGGGAACAGGATAAGAACCGAAAACAAACAACCAGAACTGCAATTGGATCAACATTTTCCATCTGTTAAAAATGTCCTTGTTAAAGTGTGACTCAGCTAGTGACATTTTGCAGAGATTGTGCAACCGATTTTTGTCAAAACAGAAGGAGACATAATCCAAAACACACGTCACTCTAATCGAAGCAAGCGGCGCTTCGACCACATCTTAACTCAGGAGGGCTGAATGCAAACGGACACGGTGCTTTTCAGACGCATATTTTCCCCAAAATGTGAAACCAGACATCATTATTCTTCCACTTTACAATTATGCACTACTTTGTTTTGATCTACTGCTTAAAGAAAATGCATTTAAAGTGGTATGAAACCATCTGCAGGGCAGAGTCATGCTGATTCGTTTATGCAAAATGCGTGCGAAAACAAATGTTGAGTGGAAAACAAAAAAGGTATTAAGAGATTTCATGACACTCTTCATTTTAATGTCACTTTGTGACGCACTAAATGCTTATTCCTGCCCTTCCCCCATTTGCAGGCCATCACAGAAGCCTCAGACATGCAGCTGACACTCAACGAGATCTACAACTGGTTCACCAGGACGTTCGCATATTTCAGGCGGAACGCCGCCACCTGGAAGGTGAGCAGAATAACTGACCGGGCGGTTTGCGGCGCGTGCGTCTCGGCCGACCCGCTTCAGCAGAACCGTCTCCGTTACTCTGAACCAGAACGCGGTCCGCCACAACCTGAGCCTGCACAAGTGCTTCGTGCGCGTGGAGAACGTGAAAGGCGCCGTGTGGACGGTGGATGAGGAGGAATACCAGAGGAGGAGGTCTCAGAAGATCGCAGGGTACAGTAACTCCCAACTACCGACCACATGGACCCGAGTATGAGGTCCAATGAGATGATGTTTGATTATTACTGTTCTTTCATAGCAAGAAGACACAGTAATTATGAAAGAACAGCACTTCTACGCTTTCATAATTACTATGAAAGAGTAGATTTACTGTTCTTTCACAGAGCAGCAGAATTACTTTAGTAGAAGTAATTACAGAATCACTTTCACTACAGCAATCCTGGAGTGAAAGGGATAAGTAGTGAAATATTGCTTTCATTAAATATCGCTTAGTGAAACCGATTTTTAGTGGAATATCGCTTTCCCAGTGATATTTGCTAAATATCACTTTATTGGCTGAATATTTTCTAAATATTGCTCAGTGAAAGCAAAATTTAATCAAATATCACTAACGCGATATTTAGCAAAATATCACCTTTCACCAAATATCGCTTGGTGAAATCGATATTTCAGTATCGCTTTCACTAAGTGATAGTGAAATATCGCTTACTGAGTAATATATTTGTTAGTATCAAATTTAGCAAAATAAGGAGTGCTAAATCTCATCAAATACATACAGACAATAAATTCAGAATTGATGCACTGCCTTTCTTATTTGATGAAAACACTATGATTGCAAAACTGTTTTATTTGTCTTCTTTTTACATTAATTCATGGAATACTCACAAAGTTTTGCACACATTTGTAATGGAAACGCAGCTATTGTCTGCTTCACTCTGTAACAGCATCAACGCCACAGAGGGTTGTTGTCGGCGTAAACTGGTAGCGTTTAGGTGTGCGTTCACAGATCAGAAAACGTACCCAGTAACTCAGTTTATTTTATTCAACATATTTTTTATTCAACAATATTAACTAGAGATGTGCCGATCAGGTTTTTTCCTGCCGATTCCGATCACATAATTATTATTTTTTTTTAATCATAAACACTACTGGTTACATTATGTGGAAAAGGGAACCATGA